ATACCCGAACTGGCAGAGGTATGGAAGTAAGTGTACAGGGTGATTATAAAAGGCCCCCGTCTCTCAAAGAAGGATGTATGTGATTCTTGCGCTTTCTGGTCTTGAAGTTCTTCATTTCCCTTRCCTTCTCAAGAGCACTAACTTGAGCTTCGGTGTGTTCCAACCGGGTTCCTCCCCGGAAGTCTCCGTTTTCTTCCTTGTTTCAGGCACCTCCAATTCCATAAGAGGCGAGGTAACCGACAGGTAGGATCAACCGAATTGCGCACCATCAGTAATCATTCCTTATCTTGATTAGATTAAACAACCAATGAGATGCACTTTCCCATAACCTAAATAATCTATTCTCCTAAAATTTCTCCTAAATTACCTSCCCCACTTTCTCCAAAATTATCTCTAGTTCTTATTTATCTTCTAAATTATCTCTAATTCATATTTATCTCCAAAATTATATCTAATTCCTATTTATCCTCTCCCCTACTTTTTAACTTTTTCTATCTAAAGAAAGTTTGGATTAAAAAATTTAAGAATTATTTAAATATTAATTTTACAATAATAGTGTATATTCATTATATATTTATATATACTATAATTAATATTTATTTTATTTATAGTAATTATTTAATATTTTTTTATAAATTTGCTTTCAATAATTATTGATAAATCTATTTTTATTTTTTATTTAATAGAAAATGATAAATAATTATTGGAGATTAAACAACTATTATTTAAYTTTTGAAATTTAATTTGTTGTATTTATTGTATTTTCATTATAATTTTTGTAGTAATTATACTTATTAGAGATTAAAATATTATTTGAGATTGCATTATTTATTGACTAATTTTGTATATTTTTAATATTTATAAACTTATTTTCAATGATTGTGTATGTTTGCTATAAGTTTTCAATAATTATTGGAGATTAAACTATTGTTATTTATTAGAGATTAGACTGCAAATTTAGTTGAAATTAGGAGTGTTCAATGATTGGTTCAGTTCAGTTTCAGTCTGTTTTTCCAACCAAATCGGTCTGGTCAAGTCTCAGTTTGTCACTCAAAACCGATTGATCATTCGTGAAAACCCACAAAGTTGGATTGTATCGATTTGGTTCTATTTTTGGTTTAGTTTATTTATTCGGAATATTTAAATCTATGATTTGCTTTTGCTTTAAAAACAAAAGCAGAAGCAAATAATGACAAAATGTGCAAAGTTATTTTGGATTAATTTGTATTTGTGCTACCCATTATGGGCCAAATGTGCTTTTCACAAAACACAATAAGGCTCAGTTTGGAAAAAGTACAAATGCTAATATGTAGAATGTAAAACCTTATATTTTGTATGTATTTGCACTGTACTTATTTGCATTTGTACTCTTTCCAGACTAGGCCTAAGGTGCAAATTAATATATATATATATAAGCCACGTGACAAAAATTGTGACACATGGCAAAACATGTCATGTTTGATCTCATAAATATATAACATGTGGCAAAATATTTGTCATATAACAAAAGAATTGTGAATACATGACAAAATATACACTATTTATCAAGTATGCAACGTGCATGGTGAAATATATGCCAAGTTTGACAGCAAAATACACATCATGTGGCAAAATATATGCCACATGGCATCAATTTGTTTCACACGGCACAACTATGTATCAAATAGCATTTTTATATTACATTTTTTATTGACAAAAGCTAAAGATTCCTTTTCGTTTTCTAATATTTTTGTGGAACTTGTACTAATATGCTATTCTCACCAAATATAAATTTCCATTTTTACAACGGTAGGATGGAGTTTGTGTTCTTATGGGGAAATGACATAACCGGTCAACCAACTTTTATTCCTATGCAGTACTGTTTTCAAAACCGGACCGGACCGGAAAAACCGGGAACCGGTCACCTGATCGGTTCCGTTAAAACCGGGAACCAGTCACTTGATCAGTTTTGTTTTTTTTCAAAACTGTTTTTTTTCCTAAAATCGTTGATTTTGATCAGCAAACTGCTGAATCAGCCAGTTAACCCTTCGAATAATTTTGATTATTTTCCAATTATTTATTTATTTAWTTTTATTTTTTATCAGAACGAGCTGGCCATTCAGGTCGAACTGATAATCAGACCCCTGACTGATTCGATCACCGATTTATTTTTAAAAACCATGCTACACAGTTTCGCAAAGGCAGTGGTGGCTAGCCCTATTGTAATATGGAATTTTGTTTATGTATAGATGGATCATATATTAAACATAATTCCAAAGCAGCCTTACTGGAGTTTATTACAGATTTGAATCTTAAAGTGCAATTGAAGCAGAACGACATGCCATTTTATAGGGATTAAGGGAAGCTCTTAATCGAAACATCAACCATCACTTGATTTTTAGTGATGCATTATACATATAAAACATCTTGAATCATCCCTCTTTGCCTTATAATTGGAAAGGTGTGCTATACAAGGATGAAATAAGAATTACTAGATGGTTATAGAATATCCATATATACGTAGGCAATAAAATGAATAGCCCATAGGTTAGCTTATGCTATATCAATTACGTCCAAAATATTTTATGTCAACGGTTTTTTTCACCACGGTTTGATGAATATAAAATTAATATTTACGGAATGGTATATTGCACCGCAGAATTTTAAATTTTATGACAGATCTACAACAATTCAAAATGTCAAATACCCCCAACCTAAATATCAATACTTGCTCTTATATTGGCATTAATTCTGAGTTGACAACTACCCCAACTGTATAATGGGATTAAGAATTCCGATGGTAGACTGAACCTTGGCATTAATTCCGAACTGACACCTACCCTAATTGTAGGATGGGGATAAGAATTCTGACAATAGGCTGAATCGTCATTCTCCCTAAATTTTATCATATCATGCCTAGTAAAGCAATATATCATAACTAAAAACAATTGTTTTGAAAACAAATCATTACCAAATCGCAAAAGCACACGGTAACACCAAAAAAAAAAAAAAATGTTCAAATTCAATGTCTTTGTACTTTAAAAAAGCATAAGCTTATCCAAACACAGGTAAAAACCAACATCCAAAATGGCTCAATCAAAGTAAATCGGCTTGGTCCGAACAAACCGGTGCTCAAATTATCTTAACAGGCAACAACCTCTTGTAATCTTGTATTAGGAATATCTTTCCATAAAATAAAGGGAGGAATACACTGCAACTCAATGCAAAATTCTTAAATTAGAGCCCCATAGTCTGTAGCCCCCCTGTAAACCACATCATGCACATGAATTTAAGTTGGGGCTAAGAATTTATGGCTTTTAAGTTGGGACTAAGAATTCTGAGTTGGACCCTTCACTTGAAAGCCAAGAAAGTGGTTGAAAAATTTTCCTAATATATCTTTAGTCCTGGTCACACGATTGACATCAAGGCTAAACGTGCTTCCGAAAATACCCATGTCAGGTTTACCAAATTACAAACTGTGGTTTCTGAATTCTGATTTAATGCCTGGTTCATCAAACATTGGATATTTGGATGTGCCCAGATCAGTCTCTGATACGACTAATTACCTATTGCCCTTCGTTTTATTTGTTTTTTGTTTTTTTTCTTTGGGTTGGGAAGAATTGGTGGATGAGGATGAACATGACCGTCTTGACATGGAGAAAATTCTCGGGAGGGAGGAGATATTTGCAGAGCTGACGCGACCATGCGGAGAGCCCATGGAGAAACACCTCATGCGTGTTCTCCCACGCAAATCTCACACGTTCTCTTTCTATATATACGCCTCCTTCGCTCCATTTCCTCTTCCATTCTCTTTAGTTCTTCTTTTTCAATCTGTTTTCCTCGTCACATTCTAAACGAGCTTCTCCACTCCCCGTAAGTTTTCTCCAGCCAGATCTTCTATTTCTTTTTCGTTTTTCCCTCCTGTAATTCTGACTGTAATTGAAATTTAAAAATTCCTTTTGTCAAACGATTTCTATCGTTTATTATCATTGCTGTTATTTTTTTTTTGTTTTATTGGTATTTTCTTAATCACCGATGGAGACGGAGTTGCATAATATTCGATGGATACTTTTGAATGTTCAGAGCTTTAACCAATGGCGTTCTGTGGAGTTGGGTTCAATTCGGGACCGGGGAGTATCGAATTATTGCATGCAAGCGAAAATTCGTCGACAAGACTAATCACGCCCTTTCGTGAACATTTAATCCGAAGAATGACCAATTTTCCTGCGAGACCTTTTCGGAGAATGAGGTGTTSGGCGGGAAGAGCCATGTCTCCATCAGAACAGAAGGGGAATAATCCAACCGTTGGACACAGCTCTTTGGAAGAAGAATTGGGGCCTGTTATGAAATTCAAGATGTCGGATTTTTCTGTCTGCGATCGCGTCAGCATCGGGCTTGGTGGAAGGGTACGTAGAATTTTATGTGTTTATGTGTTAAGGGGATTGCTAGAGACATGGCTTTTGTAATTCTATTTGATTCGAGAGTTGACAGGCAGACGAATTAGTATTTGAAGCAACAGTAATGGATTGTCACAGGTTAGTGTTACCTTTCCGCTGATCTGGTATAATACGAACAAGAAGTTCCTTTAAACAATTAAAACTTAGAGATTGAGAATTCGGTAATTGCAGCCCCTTGTATAAAACACGAGTCGTGCTTCGACAACTTACTTCTCCTCAAGCTCAGCGAAGAGGGAGGCGGGCCATAGAGGTAAATGAACCACTAATTATATAATTTTTATTGCTTGTGGTTGGAAATATTATTTTACTTCTATTTGATGAATTGTCTTACAGGTACTGAAGAAACTAGCTCGTCGCAGAATTATGTATCATTCGTACTCAATGCAAGTTCATGGCCATGTTTCTCAATCGACAGATACTAATCATAGCTCATTCACACTCGTTCACGGGGTAGGTCTCACATAGAATTGTTTAAAGTAATGGGTGTTGGTAAGTACTATGTATTTTCATAGGAATGTGGCTCCCTGTCTCCCATTTGTATATGCAAACCTCTAAAGGCTAGGAATGGTTGGACGATTGTAGGCTAATGGATGTTCTCTTTCATTGTATAATCCACATTATGATACCAGATCTTTAGATGAGATGAATTAGCTTCCTGATGTGCCAATAGAATAGGGAAAGGAAGATGGATTCTCTGTCCACTCCAATGGGAATGTTAGCATTTCTTGCTGAATTCTACTCACTTAGAAAACAAACTGAAGATTGGGTTGATGCCTCATATAATTAGACATTCCTTTCCTTTGTTTGCAGTATCATGGTAGTTATTCTCTAAGGCATTGGCTCCAATTATCAGATTGGCTTCCAACCTTAGAAGCTACTTTGGCATTGGATGAGGAGTATGTAAGAAAGGTTGGGGATGACACAGTTGGAGGACCTACTATTTCTCGAAAGTTGCGGCTTATTCGGATTTTAATGAGGGATCTCTTGATTGGAGTATGTATTTTTTTTATATTTTTATTATCTAGTTGCAAATTTGTAGATTCTTTCTGTGCGTGCATTGTAATTCAGCCATATAGAATTGGAATCATGGTGTTTCTGTTGTTCATCTCCCTCAGGTAAACTACTTGCATAGCCATGGACTTGCTCACACTGAGCTAAGGCTAGAGAATGTGCATATAAGCCCATTGGATAGACATATAAAAGTAAGTTCTGATAGTTTTCTTCATTCATGCTAAGCTGAGAACTTATTTCCCCCATTTTTTGCAGCACAGTTTCTTATCTTATTCAGAGGTTAATATTCAAATATTAGTTAAAAATGTTTCCATATGCATCTTTCTGTAGAAGCAAAAGTCAGATGCCGGATTGAGACTGTGGAATAGGAATAAATTATAAAAACTTTCCTAATATATCTTATAATAACCCCAATCAAAATATGTTTTTTTTTTGAGAAAGGGGAAAGTATATTGTATTAATCAAAGTATATGGTCCCCTGTACAATGAAAAGCTGTAAAGGACCTCAGAAAAAAAGTCTACATTTAAAAAAGTAGAAAAGATGTCATCTTTAAATACATTATGAACAGCCAACCAGTTCTTAACTGTTGCAACTGCCAAATTTATCACCTCTGCTTCAGTTGTGGATTTCTTATCAAATATTCTGTTGTTTCTTTCAAATCATAAAGCCTACATGATTGCTGGTTGAATAGATGACCAGCACAATTTCCCTTCTTTAGTCATTTTGGGAATTTGCCATCACTCTTCCAGGAGTGCATTTACAGTACCTGGGAAGCACCGATTTAGATTATCAGCCTTCAAGAAATGATTCCACACTGCTGTACTGAAGTTGCAATGCCAAAAAAAAGGTGGTTTGAGGTCTCTGTTTCCTGGTTGCATAAGGGGCACCATAGGTCTGAAATGTTGAAACCTCTTTTTATGAGGCTACCACCCAACCAAAAAACTTGACTTTAGAAGAGGCCGCAGATCTCCAAATTGCCTTGTTTGGGAACTGCTTTTGAGGTTCATCAATTATACCTTTATAAAAGGATTTAACAGTAAAGTCACCTGACTGATTCCACTTCCAACATCTTACATCTTGAGAAAGCAGGTTTGGGAGATTATTCTGAAGTAAGTTAGGAGCTCAGTCACCGTCTCAATCTCCCAATCATAAAACTTCTTCTGAAAGAAGGATTCTGGATAATTCTATTGCCTTCCACCACATATGATTCAGCAACTGAGGCCAATTTGTTTTCAGCCACACTATCTAACTTAAACTTTATGCCTCTGCTGAACTTAGGAAAAACTTTAGAAATTCCTTTCTAAACACCCAATCAAGATATTTTTTCTATCTGGTTCCCAATAAACAAATTTCATATTCAATGATTTTGACGTCAGGAGGAAGCTATCACAACTGTAAAAGACTTGCATAATTATCTATCTAATGTTTAATAAATGGTGTGCATTTACTAGATGTCTAGAATACCACCTAAAGAGAAACACAAAAGCTTAGTTATTCTCCATAAAAGGGCTCTAAATGTCAGCAAACTCATAAGCTTGACAACCTTTTGCCATGTTTCAAAATAATGCCTATTTTTTTCCCTGTTTTCTGAATGGAATTGAGATTTCAGACATAATGAGAGGAAACATTCAACATAGGATAGCCCTTCTAGCTGATCTTGACACTTGTCATAGATAAAGAATAAGTGGTTAATCTCAACCCTGAATGATAAAGATAAACTACACCATAAAGCTAGATGGTTGAGGCAGGAGAATCACCGTTAATTCACTTTGCTCCTTTCATTTCTACTTAACAGTGGGAGAGCCCTATCCATTAAAAATTCCAGTGCAAGTTTTTACTCAATCTTTAAGTACACATGCTCAAACAAAAGGGTAGGTGAAAGTAGGAGAAGAAAAAAAAACAACTGTTCAAACAAGATAAAATAATTTGATGCTTTGCTGATAACTTTGAAACCTGTAGACCTGCAGTGGTACAGAATTTTTATTTCCGGGAAAAGCTGAAATATTAAATCCAAGCCATTTGTATTAAAGCAGATTCTTTGCATTACTCAATGCCCCATTCTTTTCTCTGTCTTGAATTTCTCCTTGAAAATAAAATGCATTGATTATTCTTGACCTTTCTTGAATTTCTTGATAAATATATCTGGAAATACTTTTTCCCTACACTGTTGGACATAATTGAGGACTTTCTGAGGCTCTTCATAGAGTTGAATGGCAGAGCAGGATTCATGTAGTTCATCATCATCATCATCATCATCATCCAAGCCTTATCCCAATTATGTGGGAGTTGGTTATGTAGTCCTGTTTTGCCTTTCCATTCTATTTAGTGCCATATCCATTGTTAAATTATTGGTGCTTAAATCATCTCTTAGTTCTACCCATATCCTTTTTGGTCTACCCCTAGTCCTTCTAGCTCCTTTGACATGCACCAAATCACTTTTTATGGGTGGTGTTGATTTCTATGACATGGTCAAATCATATTAGTCTACTTTCTGACAGGACTCGTGTAGTTGACACCGTATGTTGGAATGGGGATTATTTGAGTTGAGTTTAACAGAGGATCATTTGTCTAAAATTTCTACTTAGAAAGATAGTGACATGAAGGCATGTAGCTACCACATAGCAACAAGATTCCAATATGGTGATTTTTGTCCAATCAATTTATCTCCTAACCTTGAATAGACATTTTGATATGTTGCCTGGTACTCAAGCCCACCAAAATCTTTGTAGGGAGAACTGATGTAGCCAAGTACTTGTAAATTTGAATTTGTTTGGCTGTTTTTACATTTGCCCCTAAAAGTTTTTCTTAGCTGAAGAGGCCATGTAAGGTTCACATTAGTACATTACTAACCTACTCATTTACTTTTCTCATCCTGTTGGGATCACTTTAAAGGATGGGAGTGACATTTGAATGCCTTGTTAAAGGGTTGGTGGCAGTCCCTAGTGGAAACATAAACATAACATACAGATTTATTATTTTTTTTCTTTCTATTTGATCTGTTTTTGTTTCTGTTTATGGCCTTCTTGTTGGCAACTACATTTTAACCATGCCTTTTATCAGGTAGGAATTCTTGGAAATGCTGCAGATTTCTATGATGGCAGTCCGGACAATAGTACATTAGATAGTAACTTTAACAGGCGGAAAATGATGATTGCTTTTGACATGAGGTAGGATGCTTAACAATGAGATGTAGCATATTTTATATTAGTTAGGTTTCAGATGTTCATAAGATTTGTTCATTTGATTTTCTTATGTATTGTCAAGATGTGTTGGGTTTATAATGGCAAAAATGGTTTTGCGGGAGCTCATGGATCCTTTAATCTTCATGAAGTTCAAATCTTTCCTCAATAAGGTACATCATAAATTGAATCTTCCTTTTTTTTTTTTTTTCTTTTTTTCTTTCTTTCTGAAAACTACTTGATTTCATATTGAAAACTTTAACTGATGCAACAGTAGGATTGCTTTCATGCTGGATCTTTTGACATTCTTTTGTTTGTTTTTTGTTTTTTTTTTCTTTTTTTTTGGGGGGGGGATATAACAAAAATTCAATGACTATCAAAACTTAGTTGTAATGGAAAAAAGTAAACCAAGTAAAATTGTGACATTGGACATCTCTTGAACTCATTTACATGGTGACTAACTGAGAATAAGGTTTTCCAAGTTCAGCAAGAGTTTGCTTTTTCTTTTTCGTTTTGTTTTTCTTATTTCCCATTGAAGAGATGAGGTGAACTTTTGTTAAAGCTTGTGAGAAATGAGATTCTATTTATCAAGATGGATATAGAAAACTAATTTTCCAAGTGGTGTTCATATAAATTGTTTTAAGGTCCTGTTGGCAACCTCTTTTTCATCCATGTCTTTCTCCTGCACTGAAGTTCAATTAGGGCTGAGAATTCAAAAATAACTGGAGTACATTAAATGGATGCATTTTCTTTTGTCTTTTGTTTTTAAATTTGTTTGGTTTCTTTTGTCCTCGACCTCATTCGTTTAATTTGAATGAATCCTAGTCTGAATATAGGCACGATGCTAGCTCAAGTAGAGGTTGTTGTAATTGGGTGGGGTTGGGTGTGGATTGAAGAGCAACCCGCACACTACCACCCACACCCATTTGTGGCCAATTTTGTTTAGCACATATATGGTCCAATGGCAACCCAACCCAATCCAAATATCTTGAGGATGTAACGACCATCAATCTGTCAACCCAAAGCCGACCTGCTTGATTCCTTAAAGTCAGAAACCTTTTTTTTTTGAAGATAAATAAAAAGGAAATTTTTATTGCTGAAAATAAAAGATACTTCTAACACAGGTGACCAGAGTCACCCCAACAGAAGAACATAAACATTCAGAGTATGTCAAAAGTCAGAACCCAAATCTTCTTTCTTTAGTCCCTCAAATTCTGGGAGTACCTCCCAGCCAACAGATAAAGAAGAGATTGCCGTCCCAACTTCTTCCAAGCTTTTCATTTCTCCCTTCAAAAATCCTCTCGTTTCTCTCCCTCCAAACCTCCCTTATAGTCAGAAACCCTTGTGCCATGCTTTGACCATCCACTTTTCTGATCTTATTTGGGGTGGTATCTATAAGTGACTAAAGCTAATTATGACATTCTAATATTGCCACATGTCAGAGCCACTAAATGACTGGGACCAGCATAAACCTTTCTGATGGCTTTTTGAGCGGTGTGCTACAGTATTGGCTGTCCAAGAAAGTTGAGGGCTTCAACCATCTCTCTAGAGAGAGAATATGAAAGCAAGCAAGATGATATCCCATTTTTATATCTACATCCATCTTTCTAGAGAGAGAGACAGACGCTCTGGAAGAGAGTGAGATGATATCTCATTCAGAGATCTAGGGAGAGAGAGGTTTATCTTTAGAGACTCCAGCAGTGAGCAAGATAGGATCTAACAGAGACTTACCTGGAACAGAAAGTGGGGGACCTTCTACAAACCTAATCCATATAAAGTTTGACACCCGGAACAACTTAATCCATTTAAATTGATCCAGTGTGGGAATCAACCTGCTACATGACATGGGTGGGTTAGATGTATTGGGTCATAAATTGCCACCCCTACTTGTAAGTTAACTTCGGTAACTTTATGCCATCAACAAATCCATCAAAAACTTCATACCTTCATCAATTGTGAACCCTGTCAATAAACCATCATCTTAAATTCTGAATCTACAGTGTTGTCCATGACATGGTAAATGTTTATAGATTCTCTAGTTTTCCTAGTTATTTGAATGCTGAAACTTAAGCTTTATCAACTTGAGTGCTATCAACAAAAAACAGATTTTATGATTGATTTTATTTCAACTTCTGTTTTTGCTATGTTCCTTCTTATCTTTAAATGCAGGGAAACAATCCAGCATGCTTGCGTGAATTTTTATTGCCAATTCTCTGTAACAACTTTCCATCTGGAAATCCTGGATTACAGGTTAATATCTGTTTGTGGAATGAGTAGTTTCCAATCTGATGCTATTTCTTTTCCTTTTCTCTAATGAAGATCCGTTGATTCTCTTTCTTTCTTGAAGATACTTGATAGGAACTCGGGAGCAGGTTGGAACCTTCTATCCTTGTTGCTTGCAACAAAACCTTCTGAGAGAATAAGGTCCATTCTGTGTGTGTGTTTTGCACTTTCACCTGTTTCTTATCGTATAATTAAATTATCATTAAACAATTTAGCTTTGATGTTATGTGGACAATTTAGACGCACATTTTGTTATTTGTCTAAATACAATGGTGTTCCTAGCAAATGGGCTTTTCTGTTACACCCTAAGATCATATGTTCTATTAGATGATGAGATTGTTTTCTTACCACCTGAACCAAGATTCTTCTTTTCCTTGTCCTTTCAGGACCATCTGTCATGTGATATCATTCTTACTAGTGAATTAATTGGTTTCCAATACTTTCCCCTATCTTGTGTTTACCTTTTCAATTAGATAAATTTCCCCTCCCCTAACAAACAGATGTAAATCAGTCCTCAAATATTAGGTGTAAATTTGAAGATTAGAAGGAAAAGGAAGAAGAGAAGCAAGAGCAGCAACACAAGAGAAGAAGATAGCGAAAAGAGAAGGAAGAAGAAGTATTGAATTATCTTCCCTTTCTCCTCTAATATTTTTTTATTAAGAATTAAAGTTAAAGTAATGACAAGTATGCCCTTAAGTGGGCGGCCAGCTAGGCAGTAACATAAAGAGATTAAACAAAAAAGAAATAACAGGCCCATTA